TGCTGAGCAAATGACAGTCGCTAAACACATGATTATCATAGATTGCATATGCAACTTTTTTCTTACACTTTACAAATGCATAACACATTCAAAATAGCAACCCTGAACGTAAAGGGTTTGAATAATAAACAAAAGGCTCAAAAGACTATGACATTGTTAAAATCGTATAAGTTAGATTTAATTATAATTCAAGAAACCAATCTTTATGACTATTCTATTAGAAATTTTCTTGCACAGCAATGGATGTTTAACTTCTACTGGATGTCGAAAATGGCAATCCTGGCAGGAAAGAAAGAAATTAAGTTTGAAGAGACAAATGAAGCATTTAATGAATGTATTCTATTAGTGCGTTTTAATTTTAGGCAATGATCATATTTGGTTACCAATGTGTATGCACCACCAAATATTAAGGATCGTGTTATCTTTTTTAACAATTGGTCTTCATAAGTAGACGAAGAAGTAATCAATATTGTGGCTAGAGATTTTAATGTAAACTTGGATCTGTATGAAAACAGAATCAGTCAAGTTAACCCTTATAATGACTCTTTACGTAATATTTTAAAATTAAAAACATGGGAGTTAATAGATACAGCAGAGATAATAGATCTTAAACCTTTTCTTATCTTTTATCAAAAAACATATGGAGGTCACTTGATGGCCACTCGTTTGGACTATATATTTATTGATGCAAATTATGTTCATTGCTGCAATAGTTTTGCTACTAGGTATGGTAATTCCGACCATCTATTAGTTGAATGTGAATTGTACTTTACACAGGAGCACCCAAGAGCAGCATACTAGAAATTTGACAAGAGATGCTGGTCAAATATAAAAATTAGAAGTGAAGTTGAGAAGGAATTACATAATATTAATGATCTAAACAAATAGGATTTTCATAAATGAATTATCCAATTAATTATGCAATGTTTTCTGTTATTTTATTCTGATTATGAACTTTAATTTGATTTATTGCCTGTGCCCTACGTTCCTTTTGCCATTGTCGAGTTTCAATTAATTTTCTGAGTTCTTTACAGTCTCTCTTAATGTGCCCTTCTTTGTCACAATAAAAACAAAGTTTGGGTGCTTCTTTCCATTCTAGTGTAACTTTCTGATCCCATATGTGTGTAAACCTAGGAAGCCTTTCAGCAAGGTCCAGGTCTTCTGTCGTTTTGAATGTAACAATCTACTGGTTTGTGCATACTGGTGTTCCCTCATATACCATGGGTTTGATTGATGAAACAACATCAAAATCCTCAGTAGCCCCTTTAATTAAGTTTGAAATAAAATCTCTAACCGACAGAAAGTTACATCTAAGATTAACTAGGATATACCGAGAGAGTGACCATTTGAAAATACTAATTCCTTGTGTAGCATACAATTGTTGTTTCTCTTGGTTGTTGAGAATGACTTCGAGGTACAAACGTTTTCCTCTTTTGTAGTGAGGCCTAGCTGCTATCAAGTCATCTCCCATTTTTGCATATAAAGCAGCAACAATATCATTGATTAAAATGTTTTCAAGACTTTGAATATTAAAGATTAATGCATTATCATTTTTCGTGATAATTCTATCTCTGGGGGCAAAGCTAGAGTATGTTGCTTTGCCACTTCTTAGTTTAGTGAATAAGCTAGACCATTGAAGAATTTCTGATTGCTTTTTTTCTGAATTTATTGTATTTTCATTCAAATTCTGATTTAGATCGCCATTCTGCATACCAGCATTCATTCCTTCAGAATTCTCCGCAGTCTTTCCAGAAAGTTCCTTCATGCCTCCCGGCAAATTTTCCACTTCATCGAAGTTACTTGAAACCGTGTCCGTTGGGTCTTCACCTACAGAAAACTCCAATTCCACATCATCTGACCAGTTGATTGATGTGTTGTCAGAGGTGGCTACCCCTGTTCTAAGTTTAGTTGAGACGCTGAGCTCTTCTGAGCAACGTTCATATTATCTCTTGTGTCAACGGATTTTGACCTGGTGTCATGAGTCTTGACGCGTTTTTCCTGGGTCTTGCCCATATTCCAATCTATAAACTTCCTTTTCTTTGGTATTAGGGCTTTCACCCTTATGGTGAGGCCTCGTATGCTTTTGCGGCTGGCTTTCCTCAGTATACTATTTCTTTTGTAACACCCTCCCGGCACCGGAACGCGGTAGAGTGCAGATCCGAATATATATTTATTTAGTTAAAGATTTTTTGTACTTTCGTCAATTATTTGTTTACTTAGTATTTTGTGATCTAATATTTTGTAAACCTAAAAATTAATACTCGAATTTAAATATGTATTAGGTTTAAATTTTCCAAATTAGAATCGAACTTTTGATTACAGAAGCTGATATTTACATATTATTAGTTTACACTTCACTAATAATTCTATATTTTTATATACACCCATTTTTACCGAAGGGGATGATGACAACTACATGCTTGTGGAGCATGCAAATAAAGGAAACCTAGAGGATTACTTAAAGAACACAGGGCTCATTTGGAATCAAAAGATAATTCTCGCAAATCAATTAATTAGTGGGTTGGAATTTCTTCATTAGCAGCAAATAGTACATTTAAATTTGGTAAATTATTGTTATTATTTATTCATTTTTACCAATTTGGCTCATATCCGTGATTAATTAATGAAATTGACGAAATAACGAAATGACATGTTTTCGTTATTTTCGTCAATTCATCATAACAAAGAAAATTTTCAGGCCTGCACACTGATCTGAGCTCATTTCTCCATTCACCTTTAATGATTATTACGAATCTTTGTGATTTAACTTTGTTATTTCAATTTTATTAAACTACCAGAATCCAACTAATATTTTTATCCATCGCGATATCAATCGTGATATTCTAAAATTAACAAACCTTGGGGCCATTAACATATTTATACCAAAGGATTCTACTGAAATATATCCATACATCGAGCCTCAGATATTGAGAAAACTCGTTGAAAAATGTATTAACTTTTCGGAGTGCACCAAAAAATCCAATATTTATAGTTTGGGAGTTTTACTCTGGCAAATTTCTAGCGGTAAAAAACCTTTCACAAAAATACCACATATCGAAATGACCATAAAAATTATTGCAGGTAAAAGAGAAGAACTTCCTGGGACCCCATTAAGTACTTTGAATTGTATCAGAGTTGTTGGCAGGAAGATCCAGGTATGAAATTCATATAATGGGATTTCAGAGTGAAAATGCAGGAAATCCAATTCTAGTTGTAAAGTTTACTGATTTCATGAGATGGGATCTCTAAACATTTTTTGATTTCAAAGTTTGAAACAGATAAATGTTATAAGTGTTAATAATTTTATTCCATAAAAAAATTATTAATTTTTTCTAGATAGTCATCCAGATTGCTTAACAGCTTAAAGCAATTGATATTAAAGATGCCAAGTCAGACGCTACAGGCAAAATTTTCAAGACACTATCTGAGTCGGATAATTGTGCTTTTATTTATAACATAGGAGCTTACAATTCAATAATGCAAGAAACAGATAAAATCTCACTTTTGCATTATTGGAATCTACACAAAGGACTAAATATTCATTATGGAAATATTGTAACTTCCGGTAAACAAATTCTGGCAGTGGATGGCGAATTAAGTTATAAGAAAAATAAAATTATAGGTGAATTTATACACATTTACACAAATAGAACTCGAAGCAAAATTAATAACATGTTTCCTGATCAAGACGATGAAGTTAGTGTTCGTTTACATGTCCCCCTTCTTCAGGTTAAATATAGTTGTTCTAGAGTCATTGAAGAATTTATTAGAGAAGTCAAAAAAACATTAAATAAGTCTGATCGTAAGGCTCTTGAAACCTTATTTAAGACATATGGACAACTTATAGCCCAGAATGTTGACATTGGCGGTGCACTTATGATTAAGTTAACGTCATGCGAAGACGAAATGTTTTCACAAAATATTGAAGATCTGAAAGCTCACATATACTGGGCTTACGATCAAATTATGTCAGGAAAACCTAATGTATTCGATCAAGTTTCATTCGAACATTTTATAATGAAAGATGGAAACACTAACATGGGCAAACAAGAAATTAGATCTGGAAAAGAATTGAAGGCCTGGATGGAGAATTTATACGAGTATAAAAGTGAATATATTATATCTTTTAATAAACTTGTGTTTGTGTTCAGTTCACTTACAGATGAGATAAAACAAAATATACGTAAAACCCTTGATAAATTTGATGAAAAGCCTATTTCATTTATTCTGCACATGGCTGTATCCGATGCTATTGATTTAAATGCTTGGATTTCATGTTCACAAAATATGATTCAAAAAATAAACTTATAACCAAAATATACAGTAATATTATTATATATGAGCTTGAAAAGATACTACTATATTGCTCACATTCATTTTGCTCAGACAATTATATAGACTAATCTATTTATGTCAATAGTCACAAGTAGTACCAGTTCAATCAATTAAGTACAAGTAACTCTTGTTATAGTAAAGTGACCAGGCTGTGAAGTTGTCTTCATTATACCAAGTGCCTATTTAGTAAACTATTCTTTACTAATATCGTGAGTTTACTATAGTGAGACTTAATTGAACATATACAGGAAGAATTGTTCTCGTATGCAATTTCTTTTGTGTCTTGCTTGATAATTACGATTCATAAGTAATCTTTCAGTAGTACTTATATTAGCTTAAAGGCAGAGATTGTTTTTATGACTTTATAAATTATTAAATCTATTAAGTTTGTTTTTTGATTTATTTTCTATTTAAAATATATATACAAAAAGATTTTTTAAATGCACTTGAAAGTATAGTAAAAATTTTAAAAATATGCATTTTGAAAAAGTATGCATTTTATAAAAAGAAAAAATATAAGCTAAAACCAAATTACATCATATATTTTATATAAAAAATGCATTTATAGAGAATGCAGTCTCTCTGAATTTATTAGACTTATTAACTAATCTCAAAATGAATAAAAATAAACTTTTTATAAAAAATATACAACAAAATATTTACTTATTTTTTGTTTTTAAAATAACATTATTTTTGTAAATAATATGCTTATTACAAACCAAATAGGTAAAACCAGATAAAGAATATATATAATTTATAAATGGTTAATAACAATATTAAACATGGTAATCGCGAATTTTATCTATTAAAAATATAAATAAATTATTACTGCTTACAATTAAAAAATAAAATTATTATTTTTATACATACCAAAGCTTTCAGAATTATCAGTAATATCAAGCTTAACTTAAGCAAAATTGGTTTGAGATAAATCTAAATAAATAATATATTTAAATAACTATAACATAATTTTAGTATAGGTCAATTGAAAAAATAAATACTTTTAAACGTATTTGAAATCAATTTTGTGTTGATAATTTTACTAGTATATTCTTCTTCATGATGTATTGATTTCGGCAACGTTTTAATAACTTTATCAGCATCTAAAAATTGCTTTTTAATTTCATTATCATCTGAACTTTCTATCTTTTCAAGCCAATCTTCAATTTTTTTACAAGAATCGTAAGCACTAGGCCGTTTTTGTGGATCTAAATCCATACATTGCCTTGCCAATTCAATATAACAGTTGGGAGTTTCAGGTGCAAATTCAGGACGCAATCCTTTCAAAATTTTTATTGCAAGTTTAAGATCAAAATCATGACCATCAAAAGGTCTTTGACCAGTCGACATTTCAGCCATAATAATACCAAAACCATAGATATCTGCTTTTTTTGTTAACTGTTCATCTGACAAAACCTCTGGTGCCACATAAGGCATAACACCATAAATATCATCTTTTGAATTATTTTCGTTTTCCTTTTTAGACAATCCTAGATCTGTGATATAAGATCTAATATATTTACTAATGTCTCCACTTTGTAAAATATTCCCACTATGGAAGTCTGCATGAACATATCCTGCATAATGAATCTTACGTAAGTCCCATAGAATACCTCTAAGTAGTTTTAATTTAGTTTCCCAGGTAAGATCACAAAAATGTTTTCTTAAAAACTTGCGAAGACATCCATTATCAGCATATTGAAATACCATCAAGTATTCATTTTCACTTTGAGTCAATCCATATACTTTAAGTTCACTACCCCATAAGCCACATGTTATATGATTCTCAAACTTTATAATAAATAAATAAAATGATTTAAATGAAATATTTCGTTGCTTCTTTAATAAATTATCGAATAAATAGCTTTAACTTACTTCTTTTAAAGAACCAGGCAAGGTTTTGAGTGCAACGATGCTGGATGCTTCACGTGATCTTTTATCTAAATAGTTGTCATAACCATAATCAATTTTTCGTATACCATCCAACCAGGTTGCCGAATATACATAACCAAATCCTCCTTTGCCAATTTTCTTAATATCAGATATTCTATCAAATCGGATCCATTCGATTAAATTTTCATACTTCCAAGTTCTAAGTTGGATCTTTTTTATACAATCGTCAATATCTTTATTTCTACTTGTCCACTTTGTTGTTTCTATGTCAGGATCGCATGATAGACACCATGCATTATCCGTGTTGTCTTCATTACAATGCGCACATTTACCATATCTAGAGATGCTTTATAATCACAATATATAATATAGTATTTACTTCATCTGCAAATGTTACTTTAAACTTTACATCAATTTTAAATAATTTTCTACTTACCGACTAAATTGATGCGAATGAAATGATTTGAAAGGTAGGTACTAGTAAATAAGTATTTATGTTTTTGATTTGTTTTTAATTTTAATAATAATTGTCGTGGCTGATGCTGAAATTGGATTATGCTGAAAATTTTAAATATTTTAATATGAAAATTTCAAAAATTTTTAGGGCCTTTTTTGTTAGGGGTTTTTTTAGGGTTAGGTTAGGTTTAGAATTAGTTTCAATAATAAAAGAGTATAAGTGGATTTTGGTAGGGTCTATATTTTTAAATCGAGACTCCTAATTTTCAGCAAAATCCATTTTCACCATAATCCCCCACAATCATTAATAAATGTTCTTTATACTCACTCACTGAATGAATGATTAGTGCAAATAAAATGATTTGAAGGTATTAGGTAATAGTAAATAAGTATTTATGATATTGATTTGTGAACTTGTTTTCAATTCTTACTCACCGACTGAATGAATGATTAATGCAAATGAAATGATTTGAAGAGTATTAGATAATGGTAAATAAGCATTTATGATCTTGATTTGTGAACTTGTTTTCAATTCTTACTCACCGACTGAATGAATGATTAATGCAAATGATATGATTTGAAGGGTATTTATATTCTTGATTTGTGAACTTGTTTTTAATTCCAATGATTAATAAATATTCTTTATACTCACAGACTTGGATAAATAATTATTGCGAATGAATGATTTGAAGGGTATTAGATAATGGTAAATAAGTATTTATGTTCTCGATTTGTGAACTTGTTTTAATTCCAATGATTAATAAATGTTCTTTATACTCACCCCCTGAATGAATGATTAATGCGAATAAAATGATTTG